AGGTTTAACAGGACAGTGAACGCATAATATTAATAGAAAAAATATAATATAATGAGAACTTTTAAAAATATTAGGATCACAGGTAATACTGACTGAAAATTTCAGATTTTGTTACAGTTTGGTTAAAGAAAAATGATTTAAGGAAAAGGTATAACATTGAACAAAATATTTTTTTAAAAAAAAATATTACCAAATGTATCTATAAGATAGTTGCAAACATAAGGCCATGTCACTTCAGGTCATTCCGTTGGGTTATTTACCCAAATATCCGCTGATACTTTATAAGATCAATCATTAATTTCAACAGCTTTTAAGTTTCTGTAAACATCGTGAATTAGCATCATCATGCATCTCTTTGTAGCCATAAGGCATTGCAAAAATGGCCAACTGATGTCATGATCATTGCATTTATATTCGTCATTTTATAAATGAAAAGTATACAATATACAAACTATTTTAGAAACATCGCTTTCAAGGCGTCTTGACACTAACTGGCGTATATTGTTGTGTACACATGTATGTGACACGTACACACCACTGCCACCCTTCTCAACGTAAAATATATTACGCCTATAAAAATATTCGACAGACACACACTCTTGGTTTTATATCCTGCTTCCACAGAAGACTATGCCACACTTCCGAACAGAAAACAGAAATAATAAACAAAATAAAGGAAAACCAAAATGGTTTGGAATAGCGAGCATAGCTAACGCTACCCCACTGTTACTAAGCAATTGTTTTCACCTCCGCAATATGGCAGAAAGTAGGTCGCTAAGCTTGTGACGTCATGCCGACCCAACCTATAACTCCGTGATTGCAAATTATCTCTCTGATTATAGGATCGGTTACTGCACATACACTGGTTCAGAGAACATTGAAATTTATCAAATCAACGATGTAAATTGTGATGATTCAATCTTGAAAATTGCACCTTAATGTGATGCTACAATGGTTGTATTGTTCTTTCTACTCAAATTTATTGCATGTACATTTACATTTTGTAAACCAGTCTGCTAACCTGTAAACAGGGGACATAACCGCTTTTAATGACTTGATACTGAATTAAGTATCTGTCGCGGAAAGCCACACTACACCTTGCATGGTTTTATTTGATTTCTTTTTAAAGAAGCAAAATTCACAAAGCTCAATTATTTATAGCATGCTGGCAGAATGGGATGCTTCTCTATCTCAAAGAAAAACAAAAACTATATCTTTGAAAATTTTATTTAGTAATTAAATAACTGAAAATTATTTTTTTCTCCTGGCAGCAGATTGACATTGAAACAAATATATGACAGTTCTTTCAATTCTAAGTCCAAGCTGTTCAGCATTTTCCAGGGTTTTCTATGCTGAAAAAATATCTAAGTCAAAAATGTCCAGCATTTTCCATGCACAATGTCCAAAGTTTCCATGCTAAATTCTGCAGAATATTTCAATTTTCCATATTTTTCCAGGGTTTTCCATGTTTTTCCATGGTATTCCATCCTTTTCCAGCATATACTCTGGAAAAAGTACAGCTGGGTTGTTGTCCCTTGTGTTATATAAATAATAAAAATGACAAGCTGATTTTACAGAAAAGCCAGACCTAGTTTATACAACAACACAGAATATAATTTTGAAGGTCTTTTGTCAAACTTTAAAACAACCCTTATGTATCTGTTTGGTTTTTTTTAATGAATAATATTTAATCAAACCGTCTAAAGGAACTTAGGTTATTTGAAAAATCTTGTTTGAGGTTTTATTGACACAGATAAATAAACCTTTTCATTACAAGATAAGATTATAATACTTTATTTTCATTGTTTTGCTTTTTCATACTGTGATAGCAAATGTTTAATTGTATAACACACACTCTCACACACACATACACACACACACACACACACACACACACACACACACACACACACACATATATAGTATTTGCATTTCCATCTATAAGTCTACTTTTCCATCCATCATGCTTCCTATTTGATATTGTTGCTCTTATACTAAATTAGACCAGTGGATAAAATTCTTACACTTCTGTACCATCACTGGTTTATGGTCAGAGAGTTAGAATTTGTTATTCATTTCTGCTTTTGATCTTTCAGCTATTTAAAAAACTTTGATGAAATTTTGAATGTGTACATATTTGAGCTAGAAGTCATCACAGTTAGGGTAATATCGTTAAGGAAAAGAACACATCAGTGTAGACTGTTTTATTACCTTAACATTAGACTAGCAATATAAATTCCTGAATTTATTACTTGAACATTGTGGTTACAAATTTTTCTTTCATTTTTGCCTTTAAATTGATTGGCAAAACTTTTTAAAGTAATTTTTCAGATGAGATAGTGTTCATATAAATTCGAAAAGTCAGTAGCTTAATGGTAGTCTGTTTTTCAAAGGATACTAAAAGACTCATTTAGATATTGGGTATTACATGTAGGTAGACTTGCAGAATATGCATTTTAATATTAAAAATAGAACATAAATTTAAATCAACCAGCAGATAATTGTAATATCTTAATGAGATACTTTTATAATATGTGTGAATAAAAACTTGTTCACATGTTTATTCACAATATTTCAGGATGTGATGATGGATTTTATGGAGCTACCTGCAACATTCCATGTGGCCACTGTCTGAGAGGAGCAATTTGTAACAAAGTAGATGGAACCTGCCCAAGTAAATTGTGTGATCCAGGTTATCGTTACCCTCAGTGTAACATAGGTTAGATGATCCAATATGATGCATTCAATAAAATTATAGATTCATGTTTTTTTATCCCCTCACTAATGAAGTTGGGAATGGATATAGTTTTGTGTTCATTTGTTTGTTCCCGTGTATGTTCACGTTTATTCATTCTTTTATTTTGTCCTTAAGAAGAGTAACTTGACCATACTGAAAATCATATCGAATTGACTTGAATTTAACCCATGATAGAGATTTGTATTTTTAACCATCCATTCATTATACCAGCAATATCTTTGACCTTATTTAATCTATGCTCATGAAAAATGGTGTGTAAATGCTTTTAAACTATCATAATGAACTGTGGTAAGAGTTGGTGACTTTGACCTTTGTCCTACTTTTCACACTTCAGTGAATTGTATTTCCGATTTATTTTATTAAACCTTAGTATTAGTATTATGGATCCTATTTCACCTAGACTATTGAAAATTGTTATATTGATGTATCTTAGGAAGAATAACAGTCATACCAAAATTAGATGAATGTGACCTAATTTTCATGCTTGGGTGACTGTCATTTTCATCCATTGACTTGTAGTGTCCAAAATATTGTAGACCTCATTTTATTTACAAATGAAAATTCATGTGAGTAAAGCATAAAGCTTGGTCACTATGATCAGATTTTCAAGTATGACTTGTATTTTCAGTTTTCCATTCGTTAAACATTCATTTCTTGTAATTCTCAAAGTTTATATGCAAATTAGTCTAGAAGAGAGCATAATAATATTCAAATATAAGCCAAGTAGTTCATGAAAAAAGAAAAGCCCGGAATAAGCGGGGGAAGGGGGCTGGCAGCTTATCTGCATTTCAAAATCTAAACTTTAAAAATTATGTTTTTTGTTGATTATCATAATGGAATGGCTGTAAATCTTGTGACAAGAGAAATATTTTTTTCTGTGACCTATGATGTATGCAGGTAAAAAAAACCCCATACATTTTTGGTGTCACAACAATTTGCATATGCATATTTTCAGATTTCTCCAACATGCCATTAAATAAAGGTAAATAAAAAATTCATAATTCATGGGCTGGTTTGAGTTCACGCAGGAGATCAGACTGTACAATAATGAATAGTACTTACACAGCAGTGCATATCATGCTTAATATCATTTCAGACCTTGTTTATTCCCCAAAATATTGGATATATAATTTGCTGTATTCACTATTTCTACCAAACTGCATTCTTCATTATGACATTTCAGTAGGATGTACATAGCTGTTTCATTTATTTTGATCCATATGCTCACAAGTTACAATTTTTCAGAGATACCAGCAATCCTAAAATGTGAAGTAATCTTTATGAAAAGTACACATGTTTAAAGCATGTATCCATCATCTATTCACATAACTGTTACATGTTCATGAAAAAATGGTAATAAAACAGCTAAAATTCTTAAGATAAATCCACTAAGATAATGATTAATCTATTTTAGTTTTGTGGTTTGGCTGAACTGATTCATAATTTTTCACATAACTGGTAAGCTGGTTTTTTAAGCATCTCCTTTATCATTGGCAGATGTTGTTTTTTGTTTTCTGATTACAATTCAGACAAGTTAATTGTTAAAACCCTGAAACTGGCTTGGGTTAAGAAAGAATTTTAACTGGAAGCATTTGCAGTGATTTGATATGTAATTTACCTTTAACTCCATAATATTAGCAGTATTACTGCAGGTGTGTAAAATGGAATATAAGGTCACTTACATGAATGCAAACTATGCATTGATTCCATTATGCAAATATGCTTACTAAATAAATGCTAGCATTGAACCAAACACCAATGTTGCTCATTGTTTTCATGCAGGAATCATATTTTAATGAGTTTGATATTTACAGTTTCAAGGCAAAATCGAAACATAATTACTGGTGCACTGATAAAAATTTGAATGCAATAATGTATAAAGAAGGAAAAATTTAACGAGTCAAAATGGAGAGGTACAGTTATAGCATGAAAGCTCAATTCTTGTCATCATCTCATTAAATTAAAACAAATTATATTAACTTATAACATTTCCATGTAAGAATTATACATGCTAGACCCTGAGAAAGGTATATGCATACTTTTTGCTAATATGTGATGCGATTATGATTTTTGACATAGCTTTAAAAAAATTTCAGTCATATTGCTATGATGTCTGCAGTGGGCAGTTTATAGTGATGTATAGCACTGGGCATCATGCAGCAGACATGTAGCATGATGTCCCACCCAATCACATTATCCTGACACCAGTCCTAACACTAACCTCTTTTGTTAGTCTTTGGTATGACTTGACCAGGGATCGAACCCATGACCTCCCGCATCCAAGGCGGATGCTCTAACCACTAGGCCACTGAAGCGGTAATTTTGCTAATGAAAGTTTGCATAAATAAATGCACTGAGAACTTACCACATGCATTTTGTGATATTGTCTCAGACTTGTGGATCAGCTTGTGATGGATCATGTACTTTTTAATGTTTATTCAGTTGGGGGAGGGGGGATTATACGTGAACAAGTCTATAGGTGAGTAGATATGGTAATTTTACCATTCCAGAGTTCACTTTTCCTTGTTTGCATGCTCGAGTGACCAAATGTTAGCTATTTTTTTTGTTTTACAATCAATATCTTTGACTCAGTTTTCCCTGCATACAAAATTTCTGTGCATCACAAGGAAACTGACTCTGTCATTAAAAGTAGGTCATTCTGAAATAGATTTATTCCTGTTTTCATCTCGTGTAGTGAAGTTGCTATATAACAACATGCTCCCTTTCATCTAATATGTACCAAAATAATTTGCTCATTGGTGTCCTTTAAGCATAATTTTTTTTATCCTTTTGCAAATGAAACTAAAGTACAACTAGCATAACTTTTTGTTTCTCCACTCATCATTGCTGGGGTGGAGAGAGCATGGAGAGAATTAGGATAAGGTCTTTCCACCATCTCTCTGTATGTCATGCTGATGTTCCTCTAACCTTTTGCAGAGAATAACTCTGCATGCCATGCTTTCTTTCAGAGTTGCCTCTAGCCACCAATGTGGAGTGGACATATCAGTAAATTGGGAATGATTTTCTTCTTTTCACCCACACCAAGCTTGTGCTAAAGAGCTCTAGTGAGAGAGGGCATGGTGGGTTATTTTATATAGGATCAATGTTATCACCTGTCCTATAAAAATAAATACTGAATCATTTTGGGTTTTTTGTGCAAGGGAGAGAAGCTTTATGCTCATAATTGCTGAAGATGTGTAAATCCATATTCACATTTTCATGATACCTGCATTTGCCCCTGGAAAAACAATATAGTAATTCATGAACCCCTAGCACCACTGTGATTTACAGGGCAAGAAGTGGTAGTCTACTTCTGAGTTCTGTAGCGCTAAGGTCATGTGTGACACAATAAGGTGGGTGTAATTATAGAAAGGTAGACAGATGTAGCTTTATGATGATACCAAATAATATGTTCTAGTTGCACTAAAAAATACAGAGGGGAAAATGGACCAGAGTTTTTTCCAGCCAAAATTTGTTCCGGTTTTGTGTTCGGATTTTAGACTTTTTGGCCTCTGATCCAAGACAGACCAGTCTCAATTGCACATGGACATGTAAACCTTTGCAAAAAGTAGGATAAGATGGGCATTTAGAATGAAGAGTGGTCTCGACAGAAAAATGATGGGTCCATTAGGCAAAAAAAAAAGGAAAGAACTCCAATTTTTACCCTTCTGCTCATGCTCAGATAAAAGAGACAATGAAAATTGATGTTTCTAACACAAATAGGCATTAAGTTAACCGCAATGTCTTGGAAGTCAATGTATTATAATGTATTCATAAATATCTCCCAAAATTGTATTCCTACTCACATTTCAGGCAAAAATGACAAAAACCTCCAGGGGTTAATGGGTTAAACAGTAGATTTTGATAATGTCACCAAATTTTAATATTTCTTGCATATTTGATCTCTTGTGCAATGATATTGCATATAAATTACAAATTTAGCCATTTTTTAACAATTTGTAAAAATTTCGAAAATTCTTGTTTCACATTGCCACATATTTGATGAGGCTGATTCATATATGCACAAAGCATGATCAGATTGGTTAAACATTAGTTTCTTAACAAGCATGTGTGTCAAAAGCAGGCAAATCAACATTAAAGTTCCATTGTTCATGAAGACTTTCTTTGCTATGTGTAAATTTTTTTTTTCACAAATCTTTTAAAAAAATAATAAATCACAGGCTCGATTCTGACTAGAGAGACTAGGTTATTAGCATAAGGATTTGGGTGCATATTATCTGAACATCATGAAAAGAGGTTAAAACTTAATTTTCATTTAAAAGTCAACTAAAAATACCCTTTATGAAATCCTTAAAGTTCTTTGAGAGTGACAGAAACCAGTATGCAGAATTGCCATAGACTAATGACTACATGACTGCACTTGTTTTCACAAAAACTGGATAAACTGTACATGAAATAATCTGGGAAATTAGAGTAGTCTCTTCTTAATTTGCAGAATAGAAAAAGTGTTTATGATCTGACATGATTGGTTTGGATTGTGGTTATATTGCACTGCAATACATGAATTCAGGGCAGGGTCACTTTGGTAGTTACAAGCATGCAACTACCCCATGTCTTTGAAATTGCTGACAATGTCACTTGACAAGGCAGTTAGATGTGGTTTTCCTACTTTGGTGTGGACCAGCACAGGCACTTTATATATTTCTTTGCATGAAAAACATGAGCAAATTCAAATTTTAATATCAAGAGTGATCCACAATATATTAGCTTTTATAACTACACATCTTTCCTGTAAATAAGTAAACCGAGTAAAATCCTTTTATTTATAGATTTAGCACAAGAAGTAGATAGATAAACTAAACTGGGATGTGGTAGTCTTGAATATCTTGTAATTTATGCAGAAACAAGAAAACGCAAATCATGGTGCAAAGTATTGCTTCTTTTTGGAAAATAAAATCTGAATATTATTATTTGCAAATCAGCTGCCATATTCATTTAATGCTAATTCTTGTGAATAATTTATAACCTAGTTGGCAATGATTACTGTTTTCATTTATGTAGATTATCCATTGATGTTGAGTCTCTCTTAGTGATTTGTAAAAGGTAGTGGGGGAGAAAGATTAGGATTCTTTTTGAAAAGCTTGAAAACACATCTTACTTTAATTTGTAGGAAAAAGACCTTACTGTACACATCATCAATGTTGCTGCCAAGGAATACGAGTGCACAAATCACACAAAATATATACATATTCATGCACTCAGAACAATGATGTAAAAGATCTCACACAGATTGCTTCAAAGTTGAACATACAAAAATGTTCTCTGTACAGTGTACATTTTTTTTTTTTTAAATTGTGTTAACCCATAATGTCTTGGCCATGAATTATGGTACATTACTGGTAGTACTTGTTGAGACACAAGTCTTTTCAGGTATGCAGCTGTTTATACATTGAGGTTCTTCCACCTGACATGAATGATTGTTGAATTAAATTTGATTGTTACTTTGGGCCCTAGAGTATGCATTCTGTCATAGTTTTAACCTTGCATCAAAAAAAATTTTTGAATGCTTATTTAAATTCCTGGGTACCTAAAAAGCAAATAATGGATGACTCCAACATTATTTATCTTCAGATGAAGATTGCATTTGCTAAATATTGTCTGATGATGATGAAGATTTTTTTAAAGTTTTGATGTATATCACACTGCAGACATCATAACGATATGACTGAAAATTGTTAAAGCTACGTTGAAAATCATAATCAAATCACATCAAATCACATATCTTAACTAAATGAAGATAATATTGAAAAAATAAATGGTTGATCACAAAGGAGTTATCCAGACATAAACTAATATATATATATATATATATATATATATATATATATATATATATATATATATATATATATATATATATATATATATATATTGCAAAGGTGAATCATTTCAATGTGGTACTTAGCACTAAAATAAGATTTGTTCTGTCAATAGCAGGAGCTCTCAAAATGTATTCATCTGATTTAGCCTGATAAGAAATGTAAGAACAACACTTTGTATCATTTGCTGATTTGAAAGGAAAGCAAAGATGGAGATTGTCCTTTTGTGTCTTTATTAAATATAATCTCAAAAAAAACCTATCCCCTGTGGGCTCCAAGATATAGAATAGGTCCAGTGTTATCTCCTGTATATCATAAGAGTCAACTAATGAAAGCAGGTGACCAAAATGGTAAAAGTTTAAATACTACCACCAAATCGTCCTGGGGTGACTACTATTTGTGTGTTTTTGGGTATGGCACTTTTACTCCAGTTTATTTAGCACTGCATACCTTAAGCAGATATTACTACTGATTTGCTCTGTATCTTTGGAACAATTAGCATTTTCCAAAATTAATTTTCATATGTAATTATACAGACATCTAAATCAATCCCTAATTTCTATCACTGGGTATTCTGGCTAGATGCAAATCTTAATCTTCTTGATTAGTAGATTATTTTGTAAAACCTGTTTGTCATGATTCAGGGTGGATGTATTTATTGGTAAGGTTGGGGGTGTGTAGAGTCTGAAATTATGTTGTTTTAAGCTAGGAAATATGTAAAATGCATGAGCATTTCCATTGGTCTAATGAATAAGCTGCTGTTGAACTCATCATAATGTTGTGGTATTTACATTTATTATTCTAGACTGCCCTGATGGATACTATGGCCTTGCATGTGCATACAAATGTGGATTCTGCAAGAATGGAGCTGCATGTGACAAAATAGATGGAATCTGTCCAAATAGCCTCTGTGAACATGGATACATAACTGCACAATGTAATACAGGTATTTCTGCCAGAAAAAAAATGCACAGTCAAACTTGTCTGAAAGGTATTCTTTACATAACTCTCCTGGTCTCAACAGCCATTTTCATTTCCTTCTGACCAAGTTTCTATATTAATATCATGTATATAATGGTCATCTGCTTTCTGTGATCAGCAGCCAGGCATTTCTTAACCAGATAATAGCTTCTCACTGCTTTAATCAATCAGTAGAGCCTATTGTTAGTGACTACTCAGTTTATAAAATATAAACATTGCTTCAGGAGGAAGGCATTGTTTACATAAACATGGTATTTTTATACTTTTGGTTATATTCCTGCAAATTGAAGCTGTCTCTGATGAAAAGTTAATCTTTAAGACTAGTTGCATACCTCTTTATTGGAGTTAGGCATTTAGAAACTGTTTGTAAGTAAAGGCAGTCAGAGTTTGGTTTACGTGTTAAATGTAATAGCCACATGAGGCTTCTTTTTTCATTCCTTATTCATCATGGGCATCTTGTATAAGACAAAAGTTTTTTGATCTCAGCAAGTTGA